TGGGGACCAGCTGCAGGGTGGAAGCGGGTGGGAGGGAGGGGGAGGGCAGAGGAGTGAGCTGGGGGAGGAGGACAAGCTTGCAGCCTCCCAGCATCCTGGCCTGGCAGCTCTCCTGTGTCCGCTCTGTCTCTCACCCATCCCTGAGATGTCCCCATGACAATGAGCTTCCAGCAGAACAGGGGTGAGACTGTGGACCCGGAGCCTCGGGTCCCTGACTCGCCTTGTCCCCGCAGCCGGCAGAACGACCTGCCAGCAAGAGACCTGCGAGTGTGACAGGACGGCTGCACTCTGCTTTCGCCAAAACCTGGACACCTACGACCGCAAATACGTCCGCTACCCCAACAAGCTGTGCACAGGCCCCAGCCCACCCTGCTAAGGCTGTGCCCCTCCTCCTCCCTGTGGCCTTCTGAGGCCCCGCCTCCAGCTGCTGCAGCCCCAGGCCTGGGGAGCATTGGCACCAAAGGCCCTCCTTCTGGAACATTCCTTTCCTGCAAACCCATCCCACCCTGAGGATGCCCAGAGTGTGGCCTGGACCATCGCTGGCCTTCCAGGCCATGTACCCCTTAGCAAGAGGCAGGCCCCGGAAGCTTCAGCACCCAGAAGATTCCATAACCCACCCCTGGACTCTCAGCTCCCTCTTCTCAGTGAATGCTTCCCATCCTATATAATAAAGAGGTAATATGCAAATTAACCCTCACGCCCTCACAAGATGGCTGCCTACGACCAGGCCGGTAGGGGGTTAGTGAAGGATGACCAACCGACTGAACAAGCAGGCTGCATGGGGTAACCAGGCCGGCGGGGGTGGGGGGCAGTTAGGGGCAACCAGGCAGGCAGGTGAGCGATTAGGAGCCGGCGGTCCAGGATTGTGAGAGGGATGTCCAACTGCTTGTTTAGGCCCGATCCCTATATAATAAATGAGTGAATGAATTTGTAGATTAATCAAATTCTACAAAGATAGAATCTGAGAATATTAGAATTAATAGAGGCCCAGTGCATGAAATTCGTGCATGGGGGGGTGGTGGTGGTGGTGAGGGGAATCTCAGCCCAACCTGCACCCTCTCCAATCCGGGACCCCTTGGGGGATGTCTGACTGCCAGTTTAGGCAGTCTAGTCCTATATACTATGCAAATTAACCTTCATGCCCTCACAAGATGGCTGACTACAACCAGGCCAGCAGTGGGGTTAGTGAGGGACAACCAAATGACTGAACAGCGGGCTGCGTGGGGTGACCAGGCCAGCAGGGGGGTGAGGGACGACCAAACAACTGAACAGCAGGCTGTGTGGGGCAACCAGGC